ACATCTGGTCTGAAACCACATCAGTGTAACGGAGCAGAGTTTTGGGTTTGGTATTCTTCCCAGGTGTGCATATAAAAAGGATTTTGGAGTTGTTGAATAGTTCTTTAACCACTTAGGAAAAAGATTGAGGGATAGTGATATGCTTTTTCTGTTACTCTGTTTCCAAACTATTCCGCTCTTTCTGAAAAATGCCTCAAATATAATCTAAAGGCATATATTTTTGAGTTGGTAGATATTTTCATGTCAGATGTAAGCAAAACCTATAAATTCAGTGTGATTGGCACTAAGAATTGTCTATAAGACTTCTTGATATTTAAATTTGAATCAGACAAATCCAGTAAACAAAAGCATCTGTCAGAAGCGGATACCTGTTTTGGAAGCAGCTTTTTTTTTTTTTTGACTCATGAAAAATGGCTGGTGAGTTAAGTCACTTTGATTAGAATCTAAATTGCTATCTGTTGCTCCTGACTGGTGTATAATGCTGATTTTTAAGGTGTGATTTTTAATGCTGGCATCTCTAAGAAATTCATACAGGTGTGTGTATATAAATATGCATACTTGAAAATAAATTCTAAGTAAAACTAAAATTAAAATTATGTTGAAATATTTGTTCATAGTGAAATAAAACTAGTATTGGAAATGATTAAAATTCTTGATTTAAAACAGTTTTGATTGCAAAGTTCCATTAATGCCAGGCTTCTCAATTCTATTAGATTTTTTGAAGTTACATACCTAAATAAAATATAAAACAAAAACTTGTATTATCCATGAATTATGCATAGATTCAAAAATTTTTTGGTGCCATACTCTTCCATTTTTCATGAGATTTCAAAAATACTTTCATTTTTCTAATTATGTATCTTTTTATTGTATATAAGGTGAAATACTATGTTGATTTCACTGGGTCTTTTTATTATGGAAGGATTAATATAGAGATTTTAAGAATTCATTTCAGTTGTTCATGGAACACTGATTAAATTATTACAAGATGTAGTATGACAAATTTCATAATAAACTAGCTTCTTAATTTATATTTTTAAAGTAGTGCCTTAATTCCACAGAAAATCTAACACTGAAGTAATTTTAAATGCTCTTCTATATTTTCACTTTAAAGTAGAAAACTTGAACAGTGTTTTATAGGTTTGAAAGCTATAAAATATCTTGTAAGCCTACATAGTGGTAGAAAGTAATGATAAGTTGGAGCTCTGGATTTTAGTACATTTTTAAAATGTCCTGTAGCACTGTGTACTTACATTTCAAACTAATATTCTGTATTACAAGTATAAGATTAGGATATAGTTAACACTTCTGTTGAATTATACAGAGTCCCTGAAATGTTTTGTGCTGATTTTTATCAGTTGTTGCTTTACAGTTTGTCACAACAGGTTTAGTTTATAATTTAAATAATAAACAGTTGTGCTTGTTGAAATGGTATCCTAGCTGAGGTGTGGAAACAGGAACTTGCTCTATTGCTAATGATGTATGAGGCTAATGTGACAGCAAATGAGAAGGTGATTAGCATACAATTATACTGAAAGGCGAGAAATGCAAGAATTCCTGTTAACAGGAGGGGAATGGTAACTAGTGTAGCCTGGAAGTGTGTATTTATCTTGGTGTAGTATAAGACTTCAGAACAGAGAAAACACCTTACCTTAGGGCCTGTCAAAGAAGTTGCTTATTTTCATCATACTCCCAAAACTGATTCAGAGGCATTTGCCAACCATAAACCTGTCACTGGATTTCCTTTGTGCCGATTGCCAAAACAGTTTACATTGGTCTGTGTTTCAGTGTCATAGTGGCAGAGCCCTTGCCCTTCCACCTATCTGATACTCTTCACTAATTAAAATTACATAATCATCATTGTAATTTTATATTCTGTGTTTGCTATTCCTGCATGTTACAGAAGTTCAGTTGTCTTGGTGGACTCCTTGGGTAGGGTATAGTCAGGAGATGGAAAAACCCAATATTTTTATAGGAACCTAGAATTAGCCTTAGTATTTTCTGCAAACACTACATATCATTAGATACTTCTTTGTGACTTTGAATAATTAGATTAAAATTTATTCCAAATACCCAGTTAAAACATCATCGGTTTTAATTGGCAAATACAATATTCACTTCATTTGGGGCGGGGGGGGAAGTGAAGAATGAAATTTTTTGACAAAATCTGATTTTTTAGTTATGCAAAGCAAGTTTATTTTTTGTTTAATTGAATGTGAGAAAAGAGCACTAGAATTTTATGTGCCATTGGCTAACATTGTTTTTAAATTGGAAAGCAAAACTGTTTAGTAAAATGGCTAAAAATGTCTTCCCTGCTTGACTTGACTTACTTATTAGATTGTTTTCCACAAAAGTGATCACATTTCAGTAATTCTTTCTCTGAGAGTCTTTGCTTGTTACCCAATACCCACATCACTCTTCCCTGCCTGTTTCTTTCAGCTGTGCTGCAGGTTTGGGGATCTGTTATGTGGTGGACCTGGGGGTGATTTACAATGAGATACTTGATAGTCATATAGACATGGAAGCATCTTTTCAACTTTACAGTGAATCCTGCTTTCACTATGTACTCATCTTCATTGATTATGATTTTACCTGAATTTGTAAGCCTTAATACTTATTTAATCACCTGGGACATATTCTCTGATATCCTAGCTCCTCAAAAACCAAGATGATGAATTTTTCCTTTTTAGACTCTCATGGATTTTGGGGACTTGACAGTGCATTCTTAGTCCACTGAACCTAGTACCTGCTCCCTGCTGCCCACCCCCACCCCTGCCTTAATTTAGCTACTAGCAGACCTTTTATGCAAGATTGTACTTGCTGATTGCCCACTTTAATTTTTAAAGACTGCGGATTGCATTACATTTTCCTGCTGGATTATCAATTGGACCTTTTTTCCACCTTTTTGACTGAATGAGTGTACGATCTACCCACTCATATCAGTTTTGCATTTGATCACATTCTTGAGATTAGTGGTTGGTAAATGTAACCTTCTACTTCGTAATAAAATTTTATAGTAGTACAACTGTGGTGATTCTTCTAAATGTTGTCTGACTGCTTTTGTTCTGTAATAAATGGTAGAGTTGAGTAGCTGTGATAATACCTTAACGAAATACTAAACTCTACCAGTGCTTATACCTACAGTAGCATGACACACATAAAGAGTAAAGTGCTGGAGTTGAGGCTACAGTTGAAGGACTGTAATTGTAAAACACAGGGGACAGTGGGGAGGAGAGGTAGGAAAGGAAAAAAAAAAAGAGAAACTCTATACCTACAAAAATGTAAAATGAGAATTACAAAAAACCACCATATGGCCCACAAACTCAATAACAATCATCATTTGGACCTCCCCTCTCCAACCCTAATATTTTTTGTCTATAAGTAGTCATAATCTTATACTTTGTATTTGGTGCCTATTTTATTCCTGTGGTTTCCATGTAGTGTTTCAATTCACTTAATTATTAGACCCATAAGACTAAACATACCATAATGCTTATGACTGAAATTTATCAGAACAACACAGTAAGGATATACTGCTGGATCCTAAGAGAACTAGACAGAACATCTGGAGAAATCATGCATATTTCCATTAATGTCCTCTGTCTCTTGTGAGGGGTTGTATTTGAATATTTGCCTTTTCTTTCCAGTAATGAAAAATAATGTGTACACTCTTACTCATGCAACCTGTTTACTGCCCAAGTTTTTATTCAGGGCTGGTCAAATAAACACACTTTGACTGGAATGGATTGAAATTGCAAACTCTTCGTAGGCCCATCATCTGCTTTCCTGCTGGGTTTTTTTTTTGTTTTTGTTTTTTTTTTGGTTTCAGAATTGAAATAGCAATACTGTCATAGTAAACCAGTAGTAAACCAGTTTATCAGAGAATGGATGCAGGTTTGGTTCTTTGATGCCACCATTTGGGGACCACTTTCCTAAGTAAGCCTTTCTAAGGATAGCAAGCTTAGGGGTACTACATTGAGTGTTTTGTATATAGTTCTTTAAAAATGTTATGTAATGATAACTGCTTACTTCCTTAGAAGATTTATTTGTTTGGAGTGAGGGGAGAGTGGAATCCACCATGCGGGGAGTGTTTGGGCAGGGGTGGGGGAATCCCAGTGCCTATAAAATTGTGTCACATAATGCAATGTAATTTAAAAAAAAGATCTATTGTACAACACAGTGGCTGCAGATAATGACAGTGTATCATATACTTGAAAATGGCCGAGTGATCTCAAGTGCCCACATCAAAAAAGCATATATGACTACATGCCATTTAGCTTACTTCAGTCACTTTATCATGTACATATTTCAAAACATCAGATTCTGTTACATACTTACATACAATTTTAATGTCAATGTTAAAGTAAAATCGATATTTTTAAGAGAGCAGTTTTTCCTGACACATATTTTAAAGCTTGGCCACATACTAATTCATCAACTAAGACCTAAGTGCTTTGTATTTGGAAGGCTAAATATCATATTGATTATGGTCTGCAAAAAAAGTCCAATAAATGTTACTGGAATAAAAGAGTGAACTTGATCTTCCCATCTGCAGTTTCACTCTCCAAATGGTCATCAGGGCTTGAGCTGGTCTAGGCCCAGAGCCTGGGACTCTGTCTTGGTCTTTCACATGTGAGGTAGGGGTACTGTTACTTTGACACCTCTTCCTCTGCCTTCTCAGGAGCATTAATAGGGAGCTGGATAGGAAGGAGAGCAGCTGGGCCACAAATCAGTGACTTGATGCTACGTGGGATCCTGTGCAACCTAGTGATATCTTAACTGCTGTGCCAAATGCCTGTCCCTTAGATTCTTAAATCATTAAAGGATATTTTGGGTATATTTGGACTAACGAAATGTTGTGACTTTGTTTTGTGTGTGTTTAGTAATTTAACTTGGCTATGAAAATGTACGTGGATAGCTTATAAATATATTTCTGTGGTTTAAATTTCATCTGTTAGCAGGAAAAAATGTAACTGAAAACTGGTAGTCTAGTTTGTCTTTAATATTACTTTGGTGGATTATTGACAGAAACTCAAATCATTTTATTATTCATGTGATCAAATAGGTTTTCAATTAGCAATAATTGCACCTCGGATAAACCTCATTGGCTACAATACTGCCACTGCACAAAGCTCACATGATTAAATAAGTATGTGGGTCCACTTGCCAGTTTATTTTTTGGCTATTCTGGTAACGTTCATGAAAATAAGGGTAATTATTAAAACATAAAATGAGTTTTTTGATCTGACATTGTTCTTTGTGGCCAGTAATCATCAACTCACATAATCCTTGGAATTGGCCTTTTGTTAGATTTCATTCTGATTCTCTTTGTTCAGATAAGGAACCAGAGACTCAGGAGGAGGCATTAAGTAATATGATCAGGATACAACATGTTTGAATCTTAATGCCCATATCTCATTATGGTAGTGCTTAAGAATGGCATTCAGAGGACTCAGCAAGATAAGTTGCTTTCAGATCTCTGGCTATGTGAGTTACCCACGTGGTTTCTTATATAGAAGGAATTGAATAATTTTGATTAGATGCAAACTGAGAATGCCTAGATTTTAGTTTGTTCTCTGCCATATTACATGTTAATGTTATATGTTTCATTCTTGGTAACAGAGTGTTGCTCAATACAAAAGAGCAATAGGCATGCAATGTATGAACCTCACTAACTATAACTTATTATAAAATATACGTGAGTTGACTGACTCCCATGTTTTGTTCTGATCCCTCCAGGATAAAAGTTTTTACCTACCTTCCAAGCAACCAGGCAGCCAACACCGCAAAAATGAAAATAAAAGCTGCTTAGCTTGCTTTGGCTTTATCTGGTGATACTCATTTGTTTCCTCATTTTCTGTTAAATTTACAGTGATGGAGTTGAGTAATTATAAGGGAGATGTGAAGGCTCACAGAGTTAAAACATTTATTCTTTGGCCCTTTGCTTAAAATGTTTCCTGTCTCATAATTCATGACTATAACAATGTAATTTTGAGCCTCTTGATAGCTTGACTGCAAATAATTTTCAGTTTCATAGGTTTTCTTTGGCTGGGATGCTACTGGGCAAATCTGTTCATCAATCTTATTTGAAATTGCTCTTAGGTAGGAAGTGGGCTATATCATAATCAAGACTGCTGAGTGAACTCTTGAGGTTCCAGCATAAAATTTATACCAGGAGCCGACAGACAAGCATGCAAGGCTTTTTAGTCTGTTGCTGTATGATCTACAAGTTGTTATTTTTTTTAAGTTTTGAAAAATAAAAAATGTGGCAGAGATTATATGGTTATATGTTGCTTATAGTGCCTTATGTTTATTATCTAACATATTATCTTATTACTCTTGGTCTTTGTAATTTTTTTTTTTTTTTGGTTTGCTTGTTACTGATCATTATTCTGGAGATGACCAAAACATGATGAACTGCGTTTAGTGATCATACAATTTTATTGAGTTCTATGGACCAACAGAAAGTGAGAGGGGTAGTCATACATCTCTGTGGGTTTGTCTTTTAGCTAGTGTTTAACAATATCAGATGCCTGACAGGGAGCATGGGTGCCTATCCAGTATTGGAACCTTTGAGCTGTAGCTGTATGCTCATCATGCTGAAACATGCACTAGCATCATTTGATTACTGATCTTGAAAACCAAAATTATTTGACAGCTTTATTTTGATAGCTGTGATCATGTGATGAGAGTTTGCAGGTAAGAATGACTGGGGGTGGGGAGGGTGGAGGAGTTGGATGTGGGAATTAGTCTAATGTAGTCAGTTTGCCAAGAGTTGCTGGAAAGAGATGAGATGGCAGAGCCTGATGCTTGTAGCCTTCAGTTGCATGACATTACCTGGTTATTTTTTGTAGCCTCAATTCTGTATTGGTAAAAGCAGTTTCTTTTCTATACACTTTTGCTGCATGTTTAGGATAGTGGATGTGATTTCAGGTCTGACACATTGTGGATCTAGACAGAGGTGGTAACTAATCAGTTCTTCTGGAACAGCATCATTTAGCAGCTTCATTCCAATTGGTCTCATCAGAGAATAGACTCCCGTAAAGGCATTGGGATGAGTAACCAGATGATTTGACTGGCTGTAATGTTTTTCTGTAACTTGAAACTCCTAAGATGTGGTCTTTAGATCTGCCACTCTGTAGTTTTTCTTTTTTTAATTTTTTAAAAAGATTTTATTTTTATTGGAAAGGCAGACATACAGAGAGGAGGAGAGAAAGAAAGATCTTCTGTCTGATGGTTCACTCCCCAAGCGGCCGCAACGGCTGGAGCTAAGCCAATTTGAAGCCAGGAGCCACGAGCTCTTCCGGGTCTCCCACTCCGGTGCAGGGTCCCAAGGTTGTGGGACGTCCTCAACTGCTTTTCCAGGTCACAAGCAGAGAGCTGGATGGGAAGCGGGGCTGCCAAAATTAGAACCTGCACCCAAATGGGATCCCAGTGCATTCAAGGAGAGGACTTAAACGCTACACTATCACGCCGAGTCTGTAGTGACAGAGTAAATAGCTAGACCAATGCAAGGGTCAGTTTTGTCTAATGCAATCCATCAAGAGTGTTGTGGGCCAAAATTATGCGAAGAGCCTTGAGTTCTGCCACTACTTTATGTGCCTAAATGGCCGAAATTAATATCACTGCAGTGGCACTGTAGACACCATTTTTTCCTGTTCAGTGAAATGATCAGTGAATTAGACCGGGAGTCTTGGGGGAACTTTGAGGTATGAAATGGCCTATTAAGCCTGCAGTTTTGCTTCAGCTGATGGAGGAGGGGTTCAGTGTTTCTCTTCACGGGATGTATTAATCTCCGTCTATTTTGTGCTGCTGTAGCAAATACCACTAACTGGATAGTTTATAATGAACAAAATTTTGTTGGCTTATGATTCTGGAATGGTTCTTTGTGTTGGATTTTAGGGTCACTTATTTTCAATGCTCTTTACTGTGAGTGTTGCTTTTTTGTTGTTTGTTTTTCAAATACTCTGGTTGTTTAGATTTGTCATCTTGTGGCACTTTGGTGTCAAGCTTCAACGCAGTTGTGGGAAAGAAGTATCAAAATATTTTCATCAGTGAAACACTGGTTTATAAGTATTGTCAAGACTAACACATTTTGTCATCTGGCAATTCACTTTTTTTTTTCCCTTGAAAAGCGGAGTGATTGGAGCAATGTTGTGTTAAGCAGTTCAATACCTGAGTGCTGCACAGCAGATCTATCTTCCTGCTAATGCAACTGGGAAAACAGGAGATGACCCAAACACTTGGGCTTCTACCACCAATGTGGGAAACCTGGAAGAAGTTTATGGCTCCTGATTTAGTACTTTGTCCCAGAACTGAGGACGGAAGATGTCTTCCCCTTTCTTTGTAATTCAGCTTTCCAGAACGAACAAGTAAATATGTAGAGAGAGAGTGTGCATGTGCAATCATGAGAACGACAGACATACATAAAGATCTTCCATGTACTAGTTTACAGCAAGGAGGGCCTGAGTAAGAAAAAGTCAGGAAGCTAGAATTCCATCCAGCTTTCCCATATGGATAGCAGGAGGGGCCCAAGCCTTAAACCATCATCTGCTTCTACCTAGCATTCATTAGCAGTAAGTTGTTTAGGAAGCTAGTAGCTGGTTCTTGAACAAGCAGACTGAAATGGATTTGGGAATCCCCGAACAACACACTGTAATATTAATTGTTGTTTTTTTAAAGGTTTATTTATTTGACAAGGTGAGTGATTGCAGGAGTTACAGAGTCAAAAGCACAAATGTGAGCTCAGGAGAGTTTGAGTTCAGTTTTCCTTCTACTCCTTCACTCCCCAAATGGCTTGTAAGCAGCTGGGGCTTGGTATTTTTAAAGCCAGGAGCATAAAACAGCTTCTGGATTTCCCACATGAGTAGTGGGATCCCGACTATATGGCCATCATCTTCAGATTGCCCAGGTGCATCAGCAGGTAGTTGACTGGGGAAAGCAATAAGAACTCAAAGCAGTTGTCTGACAGCCAGTGTTGCCGTAGGTACCTACTGTGCCCAAAACCCTAATGCCTAATTACTGAGTGATGATGTAGTGGCCATCTTTCTAAGGGATGTATACTGAATCATTTATTCCACTAACAGTTTTCAGTAGAAGGTATTGTTCTCATTGTACAAATAGCAAACTGAAAAAAGCAGAGCACCCAGATGAAAAGAATCTTGTCCCTGGTTGTGAATCTAATAGATGTAAGAGCTGAGGTATTTGTAGTTCTAGTTACTCAGAGAGCTGGGTGGGGTATCAGTTTGTGTGCTGTGATAGTGCCTAGTTTCTTAGCTACCATGCATTATGGGTTATTTGCTTTAAGTAAATCAATAGTTGAAAAGACAGCAGGATACAGCAGTAAATTAAACTTGGTCTGAAAATATATGTATGTTTTTGTAAAAACTGTTCTAGATAATAAAATATTTTAAATCTAAAATGCATATGTGTATGTGAAATGGATGAGAGGTGTACTGCCAGTGGTAGGAAGATTATATTTCTGTGTCTTGACTTTCAAAAAAATTTGAAATCCAACAAATTATTCTAACTATAAAACAAATATTATTTCATAACAGGAATAATGAGATGCTTCATTTAAAAAACACCATGGAGCCAGCATCACAGCATAATAGGCTAAGCCTTCACCTGTGGTGCTAGTCCTGACTAGGCACCAGTTCATGTTGTGGCTGTTTTGCTTCCAATTTAGCTGGTTCAAGTCTTTGGGCCCATTCACTCATGTGGGAGACCCAGAATAAAGTCTCCCAGCTTTGGATCTCCCCAACTCCAGTTATTGCTGCCATTTGTGAACCAGTAGATGGAGGCTCGCTCTGTCTTTCACTTTGTAAAATCAGCCTTTCAAGCAAAAATAAATAAATCTTTAAAAGAAAAAAAATAACGGTTCAGTGAGGTATAGTGATGGTTTTCTCACCACTCTGCACCTGCTGCTGTGAAACGGAAATAGTCATAGTTTATAAATAGTGAAAGTTAGTTTTTAGGTCATTCACAACTATGTTTCAAACTGTTTGATGTTTTAGTTTAAAGATTTAACTTCCTAACAAAAGTCATGTGACATAAGCAGTGAGGTACAGTGAGTGTTCTCTTAGGAATACTCTTAATAGAAAGGAAGACTTTGGGTCTGTGAGGTTGTGTGGG